ACCATCGTACGAGTGGGCCTGCTTCAAATGCCACCAGGTAAGAAAAAGTAAAGGTAGGTAAATTCTACATGCGAGCCAAGTGGCCCATCAGGCCGGGGTTTATCCCGGTTTCTGGAGTACGAAGCGACTAGGAATATTTCTTTCCCCATCTGGATGGGATGTTAGTCCATCGCAGGGTTACCCCCCATCCTTAAATTCGCCAGTACCCGTTTGGTTGGAGTGAGGCACTGCGAGAGTAGTGTCCTGCCCAAGTACAGAACATAATGTCACCTGTTAGGGCTCGAACCCGGACCGGTCCATCCGGAGTCGAGCACACTAACCATGGGGTAACCGCTTTTCCACTCCAGGTAAGAATATTACTTCTAAATTGCTGATGCAACTCGGTTTCAATCTTGCACTATTTATAATTATTTCAAAACAAGCAATTAAAATCAAATTTCTTGTAAAGAACTCATTACGTCGTTACTGGGAGTAGCGCTAGAGCAGTTTTGACTGTGATAAAAAAGAGAAATGGTAGAGATTCTTAAAATAACAACCGGCCTGCGAAAACAAAATCTCGTCTATTTTTGTCACTAAAAAAATCTGTAAGAGTGTCTTTTCCCATTAAGAGTACCAACATGAAAGCACTCATCCTGTCAAGACGTGAATCTAGACCCTATTATTTTGTAGTTCCGTTTAATATAACCACCTTGAATGACTGGCGCATAACTGCGTCTTTCGATAACTGGCAAATTCAAATTCAAAACCTAACTAACGATTGTGTATTTCAATCATAATTACGACGGCATTCAAAGAACCTTGAAAAGAAGCGAACTAATTCGATCACAAGTAACAAATCAAAACCCTCAAACGTGACATTTTGAGCCTGTTTAAGTGAACAACTGTTTCTTGGGAGACCCGATAAGATAATTAATGGCAGTGAAAAGCGCTACCTTGGCCTGAGAAGTGTTCGCGTCTTATTAAAAGTCGCAGTGCATGATTGTTGTAACAATCTTACCTTTATGCAAGGGGCTGGAAACTAGTTTTATGTAGTTTAGCTCCCATACGAATCTCCTGTTGCTCAGGGGCACCGTGTTTGACCGGTGAGCTGAAAGTAACGCTAGCATGTGTCGTAACCNAAATGGCAAACTCAAGTTCAAAACCTAACTAACCATTGTGTCTTTCCATCATAATTACGATGGCATTCAAAGAACCTTGAAAAGAAGCGAATTAATTCGATCACAGGTAACAAATCGCAACCTTCAAAAGTGACATGTTGAGCCTTTTAAAGTGAACAACTGTTTCTTGGGAGACCCGCTAATTAATGGCAGTGAAAAGAGCTACCTTGGTCTAAAAAGTGTTCGCGTTTTGTTAAAAGTCGCAGTATATGGTTTTTGTAACAATCTTTTCTTTATGCAGGAGGCATGAAACTAGTTCTACATAGTTTAGCTCCCATACGAATCTCCTGTAACTCAGAGGTACAGTGGTCGACCGGTGAGCTGAAAGTGTCGGTAGCATATGCCAATGACTAAGTAATAACTCTGTAACAATCTTCATAGAGCTGATTTCAGCTGAGTGTCGTAAACCCAACCAAAACCAAAGTAATCACTTTGGCCAATCACAAAGTACACAGGCAATCCAGTGAACTAAGCAAAAAAAGTACGGGAAAAAGTGCACGAGCGAGTCACGATTGGTCCTGCTTTTAGGGACTGTGCAATAATTACCTGGAGGACGGGGTGGGGGGGAAATGAGTGAAATATGTCCCAAAACTAAGTCATACCCCCGTCTCATTAAGGAAAAATTCATTTCAACACCCCCGTCACATAATGATA